GGAAGGAAGGAAGGAAGGAAGGAAGGAAGGAAGGAAGGAAGGAAGGACTGATTGATTGTATATTGATTCCATGTTGAAATGATCACTTTTGGATCTATTAAAGCAATTGAAACATATTATTTAATTTTTCCCTTTACTTCTTTGACATGGCTACTAGACAACCTAATTTTTCAATGCAGCTCCCGTCTGCACAGCTTGCAGGGATCTAGTTAGATCAGAGTTTCTCCTGGTTGCACTGACATTTTAGCCAGATAATCCCTTGTGAGGAGCTGCCCTGGACTATAAGTACTAAGCAGCAGCCTTAGATGCCAGCAGCTCCCTCCCCACTGTGACAAGCAAATACACTTCCCAGCATTACCAAATAGCCCCTTGGAGTTACAGTACCCCTAATTGAGAACCGCTGTGTGTGCTGGATTTTACTGTGGGAAGAGAACATCTCTGGATGATGGGAACAGGGGAAGGTGACCTTGACAATGCGATCTCTCTTCTTAGTCCTCCACAGACAATAACTGAGGAGTTCCCTCAGAGTTGCTCATCCCATATAGAATCCTTAGCCACTGATGGTAGGGAAAGGGTAGACTCCAAAATCAGACCGAGAGAGATCCACAGTAGACTTTCCCTTCTCAGGGCCTCTCTCAACTTTTAAAGCTGTCTCCTACTTGCCTGGAGCAGCAAGAGGACTCTACATACTCTACACATGCTTTCCTTTCCTGTGATCTTGCATTTGTGGGACTAACTAGACACTTTCAGGTAGTCACACAACCTCCCAGTAATCCATTCATGCAGTCAACCAGCCACCAGGCAATCCAATCAGCCCACGCATCGGCCCTTCTCACCATCTTAATCCACCTGCCCTACCAAGACTCACCTTCCCTCCACCCAAACAACACATAACCACTCAACAGCTCTAAGAACGGCAGCCCTAGTCTGTAACCACGTTTGGGTATTAAGGGGAGTAGGCGTTACATATTTCTTTCTCTTAGAATTCTGTCCCTGAAGAGGCAACTCTTTAAAGGCATGCTGTGTTGGCTTGCAGCTGAAAGAAGGAAATAGAGACAAAACATTCACCAAAGGGAACCTTACTTACATATCTATTACAGTAAGGTTGGACTTAAGTTATAGTTTATTAGCCATACTTATTTATTCCGCTTATGAGGTTTCTCAGAAAGGGGAGTAAGAGTCTTTTTAAAGTGGCCTAGTCAGTTATGTTTTTCTAAAAAAAAAAAAAAAACAAAACAAAAAAACTTCTGGGTGTCAGCAAGAGACAGAAATCAAAACCGCAGGAGGAAGGTGGCTACCTCCATCATTGTAATTATTTCCTATACGCTATTGCAAAACTCACAATTTGTATACAACTGAATTGCATCTAAAATGCATGGGTGGGCCTCTGGTGTCTGCGACCTGGTTTCTAGTCACCTTGCTTTTGGGCAAGTCACTCCCTGTACCTCTTCACTGCTGAAAAAGACAATTACTTTCCCAGGCTAAGTCTCACATCTATACAGCCAACATTCTCTAACCAAATGCTGTCTGAGGCCTACAGGCTGGGCATGATTCTGGGAGCTAAAATACAACAGAAAGAAAATAACATATGTCTCTTTTGAGGCTAGGCAAGTCACATAATAAGCAAGGAAACAAACCCAGAACCCAGCCCATAGGAGAGAAAGACTTGGATGTATAGACTTTGTTCAAGAGGAGGAGCCAATGGTATCATATCTGGTGACACAGGGTCTCAAGAGGAGGTTGTGAGTGCAAGCCCTGGTGTAAGAGCTAGATGCTCAGGGGAAGATGGTAGGCTAGGGACAGCATGCAGAGGAACTACTAAGGAGAAAAAGGACAGAGCAGCGGGCTGTGGAGACCTCTGGTATCTCACATGGTGACCAGCACACAGCAAGTGTCAACAGATGTGGGAGAGCAGGTGTGAATGTCACTATCAGAACACAAGACTCTCCTCTCCTGAGGAAGCAAACCAACTTGATGCAGAAGAATACAAAGAGGAAGCCAGTCGGAGCCCCTGAAGCCAATCTATCCCTGTCTACCTAAGGAAGGGTGTGTCTGCTCATCACACCAAGGAAAGGAGCGACCTTAGAAGAGAACTTTCTGGAATATCCCAATTCAACCATTATGACGGTAACATCAATTCTCCCAGTCATCTCGGTCACAGTTGTATTCCACCTCCATGCAAATGAAAGGAGACCAGGGATTTTTTTCCCTTTGTCCTTGACCATGGATCTTAAATAGGAGTCCCCTGGGCCTTCACATGAGCCCTGTGATCTTTGTATATTTTACAGACCACTCCTTTGTTCATCCCCACAGTGCACATGAACCTACAGTCTCCTAGCCAGGGGGTCTGATGTCCCACTCTCCTCTGCCAACTTCTGGCTTGCAAATAAGGACACTGCTCCTTCTCCCACTCTGCATGCATACTCCCTGCCCCTGTCCTGGATCAGGAATAATGTCTACCCTCCAGAGAGGGCCCATATCCAGAGGAGAGTGAACATTCCCCACCCACACCCAGCAGGGCTAGGCTGGAGCCTCCAGGATTCCTTGACCATGAGCAACACGGTTCTCAGATGCTGCTCATTGCCTTGGGGGAAGCAGGGGCTTTGTTTGCCCTCAACTGGAGCCCTTTGTGCTGTGCCATCAGCCTGACTCCTCAAACATGACTCATGACCAGGTTGGGTGAGAGCTGGCTCCAGAAGTCAGGGCCAGCTGTCAGTGTCTCCAAGACCCCAATACTCATGAAGGGCAATGTGGTCACCAACCCCTGCTCCTCAGAAATCACAGGGCTACCTTCAACTCCTGACACCCAGCAACAGGGAGAGAATGTTATCTCTCATAAGTGAAGATTATTGGCCTCTAAAGGAAGAAATGAACCGACGTGGAGGAGAAGGAAGGACAAAGGTCGGTTCCTGAAATCCTAGTAATAAATCAATTATTGGGGATTTAAAACAGGGCTTGAAATTCAAATATGGCGAAAAACAAATCAAAAAGTAGAAGAACGAAGGCGAATGGGCGAGCAGTAAGGTGTCAGTGCCTACTGCAGCCCCAAAGGCTGGTCTAAGTACTTCACAGATACCACTGATGTTAATCTCTGAGCAAGGTGATGCTACCCAACTCAAATTTGAGAAACCTGAGGCTTTGAGGAGCTCATAACTTTCTGGAGAATGCACAGCTACAGAAAAGAAGGAACCGAGAGCTTCCATCTGTACCCTCTCAAAGCCTGTGCCCTAACCCGAACACCAGGGGCCAGGAAAAAAAAATGCCTTAGCGTCCTGGTCAGGGCATGAGTGCTGGTCCTAAACCAGAGTAGGACAGCTGAGCATTCAGAAGGAAAAAGGGAGCCTAAGCCGGAGCAAAGGGGCAATCAAGCTCAGAGGGCAGCTGGGAGAACAGAGATTTGGGGAAAGCCAGTGACCACGGAGCCCTAGAGCCATGCCCTATGTGGGTCCCACAGGCCCTAATGCAGCCCCGGGATTTGGAAGGTGACACTGAAGCCCAGCCAAGCAGCTCACTAGTCACACCCCTCCACACCCTTTTCTCCATCTCCTGGCCTTCACTGGGGGACACACTTCCCTGTCTGCCTCCAGGTGAGGCTGCTGTTCCTCCCCAGTCCTGATTCACCAACTCCACCCTTTCTCGCGGATGACTAAAGACATAACTGCCCTGTTATACTTAAGAATGGAACCTGTTTCCCCTAGTGGTCACAAAGAGACCTGTTACAGGGCTGACAAGTAGCTAGAGGGACCGTGAAGATGTCCCAGAAGCATTCAGTGGGTCCTGGGGTTCAAAGAGCTGGACATGGGAAAGGGGAGAACAGTGGAAGGACACAAGATGTGGCTGTAATTTTGGGGCAGTCTAGCTCATGAGCAGGCCTCAGGCTCCCCTTCCACACACTGAGGGGCTTTGGTGGGTGGTCCAAAGTCCCTTCTGCCCCAGACTGTCTAAAGAAAGGTATCAGGAGAATCCTTGGGTGGTCCGAAGTCCCTTCTGCCCCAGACTGTCTAAAGAAAGGTATCAGGAGAATCCAGAGAAGCAGGGTATGGGGAGGTGGGGTGGAGGGGTAGGGAGCAGGGGTGGGGAGGGAGCTGTTTAAGGGCCAAGCAAGGAAATGATTAACCAGTGGCCACTTAGTCCCAGGGCTCTGAGGTCCACCCATCACCCCCCACAGACAGGCTGGCATATCCTCACTGGTCACCAGGTCAGCACATGGAGGAAAGGACACGGCTGACCAGGGCAAGCAGCTCCATGCTGCCCCATCCCAGGCCTGCAGCTTCTGAACCTCACAGCTGAGGACAGAGAGCACAGGCTCACCATATCTCTGCCTTGGCTCTAGTTGAGTCCACCGTTGTCACGCCCTCAGCACAGGCCTCCCTAGCTCGGAAGGCTTGGTTGATGGTGACTCACAGCCCTTTCCTTTGGCCCGCTGAGGCTTGTTGCTCACGAAGAGAGTGGAGCAGGAGCGGTCCTGTGCTCCAGGTGCCTCGTCAGGGAGACTGCTGGCAGCAGCTACAACTGCCCACGGGGTTCCATGAAGGCTGGGCCTGGGCAGGGAGGCCAGGCTAGGTCCTATGGTAGCAGGACTGGCTCCCCAGGGCTTCACTACCACTTAGCCTGGACATCCTGTGGGAGCTTGGCCCCACCCCTGCAGCCATGTGAGTCTATGCCCAACTGAGCAGTGGACAAGCTACTTACTATCAGACCTCATTCCCACTAAAAGTCCTAGTGCTCCCAGACAAATCCCCTACACACACACACACACACACACACACACACACAAACACACACACATACCACAGCCAGGCTTTTAGACAAAAAAAAAAATCACAAACACCCTTATCAATCTGGGCACTTCTGAGGAAGTAGGGTCCATTTTGTATTTTTAACCATACACAGAACTAAAGTCTTCAACAACCGTTTAAATGGAGCATCCTGGGAGCAAACCCAGCCACCCATGAACATCTCATCTCTACACAGGCCGTAAACATGCTCCCCCACACAGAGGCTACACAACATGTATTTGAACACACATTCACAGGCATGCATGTGTCCACACCCAGAAACAAAGGCACTCCCGCACCAACCCCATGCACACTGACCCACAGACAGAGTCCAAGGCCTTGCCCCCGCACCGGCTCCACCCTCAGCACATACCTTCCCTGGGGTGTGTCTGACCTCTAAGGCAGCGTGGGCTCCCTTTCCAGAGCACTGGCTCTCACCCTCCTTGGAACTTATCTTTCCCCTTCTCTAAATACGATGGGCCTCTCTGCACTGAGGCTGAGGGACAGCCATACTTCAGAGAAGTGTCCTAAGGCCCTGAGGAGGAAGTCCTCAAACCAAATGATGGGCTTCTGTGACAGACTGAGACTGAAAGACCCTGAAGCCCTCAGGGAGGTCCTGAGGGGCAGCAGCTCTCAGTGTGAGAGATGCCTTGATAGGCGGTGGTACCCATGCTGGGCTGCACCTGCAAACATAGCTCTGACCCCACAAAAGACCTGAAGACCGAAAGCCCACTTGAGAGAAGCCAAAAGGCCAATTTTATCCTAACTGGAGCCTGAGGAATAGAAAGAACAGGGCTTCGGCAGCAGCCTCTGTTACCTTTAGGACAAAGGATGCATTCCAAGTTAGAGATTCAGTGAAAGGAACTGGAAGGAAGGATGCTCATTCCAACACTTCTGGCGAGGGAGGGGCAGCTCCAAGAGGAGGCACAAAGAGAGGGGCGGCCTCCTAGATTCCCACCCCACCTTGGGCTTCTCTGACCCTGGATAGACTATCCAGCAGGCAGAAATGGCAAATATAGTCTCTGACCCATTGAGATTCACAAACACAGATTGTAGCACAATCTAGGATACCATCTTGCCTCCAAGTGACGGTTAGATCCCACTCCAAATGTTGTGCTCAGAATTTGAGCCTCTCTTTGGGATGTTGGGAAGGGAGGGTGCTGCTTTCTCTTCCTCTGATCCTATTCACACACCCTGGTTCTGTTGACTCCATAAGGTGGGGCTAAAGGACACTTCCCAGACCCACTCTAAAACCCTTAACAGAGGCGCAAAAACTCAGGGTCCGCTCAGTAAGTCTTGGGGTAACTCTTGAACTTGCCCAGCCCCCTAAAATGTTCCCTTGCCCTCACAGACAGTGGCACCCTGGGCTGTCCAGGCTGCGGACAAGCCTTGCCCTAAGCCTACTCGTTAAGACTTAAGGAACAGGAAGCTGAGGATCAAGAAGACCACCCACTCTGTCACCTGAGGGAACCAGAGTTTGGTTTCTGTCCCCACTGAAGAGCAACAAGACCAGGATCTCATTTCGTCGGGGAAGCAGGCCCATGTCCGGGAGGGGAGATCCGAAGGGGGCGCAGCTTACCCCCAACCCCGGGCCATCCGGCCCCGGTGGCCGCACTTACCTGGACAGAGCGGACCAGTCCTTTCTGCTGACCGACATGCTGCCGAGCCCCACGGCCGCCGCGTGCCGAGCTCCCTGCTCCGCCGCTCACCTGCGGCCCCTCCCCGCGCCAGGTAGGGTCACATGGCCGCTTATCTCAGCCCGGCTCGGCCCCGCGCTGCCGCTCTCCCATTCGCCGGCCCCGGGAGCGGCCTCTGAGGTGTGGGCGTCCCAGACAAAGCCGCGCTGATCTCCGCCGGGGCGGGTCTCCCGCGCGGCCGCTCTGCGGGACGATCGCACGGAGCTGCGGGCTGCACCCAAGCCGGGGCTAGCGCGGGGTTGCTCTGCTGCCCGGGGCGAGGGCGGGAGACTTCCTGCTCAGAACCAGTTGGACCAGCTCGGCGCCGGCCCGCGTCTTCCCTGGGAGTCGCGGTCCAGAGTGCCAGGGAGTCGGGGAGTGGGGCGGAACCCAAAGATCGGGGTCAGGCTGAGCTCGCTGCCTGGAAATCGACTTAGCCGGCAGAAACCCAAGAGCTGAAAGCCGAGGAGAAAAAGTTAGATCAGGTACCGTAATCTTGGGTGTAGAGTGCCAGCAGCGGTGGAGAAGTGAGGGGCTCCTAGAAAACACCCCAAGGATCAGAAACTACCTCGAAGAGTCGGCTTAGATAAGCAGGCACTGCGTGAGAAGACCAGCCTCTCCTAAAAGGAGCTGAGACAAACTCAAACCCGCCAACGTAGAGTGGACACCGCTATGAAAAACCATATGCGCCAAAAGCACGGTCCTGGCTCCTTGATACCCAACAATGGGCTAAAGGGGCAGGGTGTATAACTCTGCCATGGAAAAGCAGTTTTGCTTTCCCAGGAAGAGGGCCCATACGTAATTCAGATTAATATTGCAATAATCTGAGGCAATTCGAGTACCACCCGTGGGGACCCGTGGGTGAGCGCAGCACCAGCCGCTTTATGCTCGGGAACCTACTTCCTGACTGAGTGCGTAAGGTCAGGTGCCTGGATGGGAAATTGTATCTTCCTTGAAAGATCAGAAATGGAATCAGTAGCTGTTGCGGGCGCTGTTCATGGAAGGCCAGGGTGCTGTCCAGTACACGGGATGGGAAGTCAGAGTCTAGAGATCCACCTGCCTCAGCCTCCTGAAGGCTGGGAATGCTGGAATTAAAAGCAGGAGCCACCACACCGCGCCAAGGGGACTATTTTTGTAATTTATAAAGGAAAGGAAGGAGGGGGGATGCATAATCAAAGGTAACACTGAACAGGTGGTGGGGTTAGCAAGAGCTTTGGAAAGCTGAACTGTGGGCCCAAAAGTGATTGACATGGCTCATGAACGCCTCTCAGCCTGATGTGAGAGGGACTGGGATTCAGGACAAAGATTCCAGAGTCAGGGATTCAGGACAGGGGACAAGGATTACAGAGCTCTTAGGGAGGAAGTTGACCAGAGACCAATAGAAGGTTTCTTGACATTTTGACCTGATGATTCTCCACTTGAGGAGCTGCCTCCAAATGGGCCTCCGTATGGTCAAGCCGGCAGCTGCACTCAACACCCATGTGAATTAAAAGTCTTAAAAAGAGCTGTCCAGTAGATCATTGGCTGTCAGGGAGGGAGCTCAGGAGAGGAGTTGGCACTGTGTGCCCCATAGGCAGGGGTTGAGTGGGGAAGAGGAGGGAGAGAGTTTTCAGCAACATAGAGTTGGAATCTGCATCTGTGTCCTGGCTTTCCAGACACTGAAAACGAATCTCAGAGTCGCCTCAACACTTTGCTGAGCACACTTGTGCTCAGTAGCAGTTTGGAGGACCACACTAATTTGGGAAGAACCTCCATCCTATTGAAGCTGACATTGGGAGTCAGGGTGATGGTAAAACTGATATTCATAGGGTTCTAGGCACTTAGGACCTCTGGTCTCTGGTATCAGGAAAAACAAAACCAAACAAACCAATGAGGGATGGCGCCTCCACACTTGTCAGAGTCGCAGGTGGCTTGTGAAGGGTATGGCTGTCAACGTGACTATGTTCTTCTCCAGCAATTGCATTACTGAACAGGAAACCTCGTGGACATGAACATCAGAAGAGGGGCCCATGAACATCTGAAGAAGCACTGAGAGGAAGCAGAAGCCTAGGAGGGTGAAGAGAGGATGGTACCCTCACCCTTTCATCATTTCTTGGCAGTGAAAATGGACATGCTGCAGATTTTGAGCCAGTGTTGAAAGAGAAAAAGCAAAATGCATGCATTTTTATAAAGCTTGGAGGGAGGTGCAGATCTCAGCAACATGCAGATAAGGAATTCATAAACGTGTAGAAATGTACACAGAGAACCAGAGAGTTATATAGCAGCCCTTTAAGGAATGCCTGAAATCACAGACAATACCAGCCATACCTGTGATAGTTTTCCTATATGTGCTTAAGACAAAGCTTGATTTATAATGTAGTCACAGTACCAGTAGCTAAGAATACAGGGCGGATGGTGGCGATCAGTGATGACGTGTACGCTTAGCACTTATAAACCCCTGGATTCAATCACGTACACAGAAAACAAACAAAGCCTAGTGAGACAGAATGAGTGAGGAGGTCTATGCCTATGATCCCTGACATGGGAGGCAGAAGGAAGAAGGATTGCCAAGGACTAGAGGCCAGCCTAAGCTACATAGTGAGTTCCAGGCCAGCCCAAAATACAGGGGGAAGAGGTGATGGAGACACAATTATAATCACACACTGTGATACAATTGCCAGCTACAGGACATTTGTACTTTGGGGCCATTGAAAAAATGGGAATGACTTTAAAAGAAGAACTGTGATATCACACAGCCTATCTGGGGACAGAGATAGCCACGTGGTTAGCAGACAGAAGCTACACCACATGGATACACAGGACAAGAGATGATTCAGGTACTGGGTAGGATGACACAAGAGTTGGTTACACTACTCAGAAAAGCGTGTGCCTTTCAATGGACAAGTTGCTTATTCCTGGGATTTTTTTTCTCATTTAGCATCTTTGGGTCAGAGTTTACTGAGATTGTGGAAAGCCAAATCTTGGAGAAGGGAGACTCTCGTGAGCACAATATTGAAGACCAAGTTTATTCACCTTTATGGAGAGGAATGCAGTGTTAAGGGGGGTGGGGAAGGGTTTCAAAGTATTTCATGATATCCTAGTTCTGAAAATGAGTGGTTGGGAGCTGAGGAGTGTAGTTCAGTAAGAGCTTGCATGCATGCCAAAGGGTTTAAGCCACAGCAACACAAAGATATAAACTCTCCATACATGGGTGCTTACTTTATAATTCTTTATTTGCACATATGTTTAAATGTGACAATCACACTTCCACAAGGAAAATCCACCAAGGCAGAGCCTGTTGTGACTGGGAAGCTTCTGACCAAGGGGAGAGGTCTTCTGACATTTCCCAGCCAAAGATGAGTCGGAGGTCACCCCTCTTCTTCCCTCTCTTGAGGTTCTGAGGCAACCCACAATAGATAGGCAGGCTCTGGAGTCCCCCAAAACACAAGACTCATAGGGCATCTTTTCCAGGGAGGCTAGAATGGAAATCTGGGGGATCCCCAGTCCCAACAAGCTGTCCTGGACACTCTGACATTTCAGTTCTGGCCCCATTTTCTATCTGCACTATTCAGTACTGGCCTTTGACACTGTTGGAAAAAAGGGGGAAAAAGAAGAAGGAGGAGGCAGCAACAATGCCCACATCCTAAGGACCCCAAGCCAGTGGTCCCCTGGCTTTTAGTTTTAACAACTAGCAATATTTCTTAAATATTCTTAAAATCTGATTGTTGAAGTGGTCTCGCCACTGCCTTAATTTGTGACATAAGAACATTGGTAGCCAGAGTGGTATATGCCTACAACAGCATCAGCTCAGACTATAGGGAAACCTTGTCTTAAAAGACATTAGCAGGCCTGGTGGTGGTGGTGATGGCAGCACACACATGTCTAAATCCCAGCACTCAGGAGCCAGAGGAAAGTGGCTCTCTGCTGAGTTCCAGGCCAGCATGGTCTATAGAGTGAGTTCCAGGACAGCCAAGGATACATAGTGACACCCTGTCTAGGGGGTTAAAAAAAAAGACACATTAGGAAACAATTCCCACAAAAGGCTATTTTCATATTAAAATAACAACGTGGAATCATGTATGCTTTGGGATGAAGGAAAGCCCTTTCCCTGTTTCTTTTTTAGCTGTGGGATCCCCAAATATCTGTGGCATTGGCTCTTCAGCAGAGCACAGCAGAGGGGCTAGGGTCACAAACAGCCATTTGAGAGGACATCCTTTGGGAACACTGGCACCAAGCCACACAGTGTGTGTACCCCCACTGACCAGTGACACCCAGCTCCCTGTGGTGTACCACATAACCCTGCTCACTCTGTCTCTAAGCAACCATGGCATACACAGGGTTTCCCCTCCAGGCCTTCAAGTTGAAACACCTGCCTGTCACCCAGGGGAGGCATACCTTCCCTGAACCCAAAGCAAAGGGCAAGGCTTGCCCAACCTGTACTGACTCTACCAGTGAGGGAGGCTAGCACTGGAATCAGGTGGGGTCCTGAGATAGGCAGGCTTCTCAGAGTCCAGACTCACAATGTTCTCCTTGGTTCAGTTTTCTGAGTAGACTGGAGACAGGGGACCTGTGTCCTAGTCCTTTGTAACCTTGAGTAAATCACTCTCTTTCTGAATGCTTCCAAAGACTGACTGCAGCACTCGGTGCCAGTGCTGTGTGCCTTGGTCTCTCTGGCTGGGGCCACAAGCCAGCTTGGATATATACCCTGGGAGTAAGGAACCCCCTCCCCTGTCTCTCCCTGCAGTCCAGGCCCTGTGGGCTGGCAAACATTTTGAGGAAAGAGAACCCTGAGGGGGTCAGGAGAGGAAGCTGCCATCTGCCCTGGTCCCAGAGACCTGTCCCAGACTTCAGTAGCTTGGTCACCCACCTGGAACAAAACTGCCCCCATGGCTGCCCAGCCCGGAGCCCTGTGGGGGGTGTGACTCACTTCGCGGGGGGCCATTGTGGCTAACGTTTAACTTGGCCCCTCCTTCAGAATGACACTTTAGCCCCAAAAGCTCTTGAGCACAGGGTTGCCCTGAGTGTACCAGTCGCTGAGACTCAGACACAACACTGGGCTTGGGGCCTTGGGGCCAGTGGGGACAGGGCACCTCACAAGAGATGGGGAAGACACTAGCTGAGAACTCTAAGACAGGCAGGGTGGTGCAAGTGGCACCCTGCCCTGGTCGGTCCTAACCAGGAGGGAGGGACATCGTGCCATCTTCAGCTGCAGAGAGAGGCTTGCCCACACAGCCGTTGTGGGTTTGTTCACAGCAGACATTTTCCCCTCTGTCCTCAGCTAGATCCCACCATTGAAGAATACTTCACCTGTGCCTTTGTGGATCTATCCTGCCTCTCTCACAATGGCTTCCCCTTTGGTGAGGATATAGGGACTCCTTGGTGTACAGACAGGACCCTAGTGGGGTACCTCTTGATCAGTAGCTAGTTGGGCTCTGTTGAAACAAGACTTTCTAGAAAAAAAGTAGCCCCTATGGCAGAAGGAAGTGGGGTCCCCTGGGAAGCTCTCAGCTGTCGTCTCTGGCCCTTACATCCTAGTGTCCTAAACTCTCCCGGACTCCGTTCCTAGAGATCTACCTCCAAGCTTTTCTGAGAATGTGTGACAAATTCTGATAAAACATTTGGCGTGTACATTTGTCATTGTTATTACTGTCAATAGTGAATGGGAGTCTGGGCCCTGACAGACTTCCTCAGCTAAGTTCAGCCTCACTCCTTGCTTTGTGACTATGGGAAGTCTCTAGAATGTTGTCCTTCCATACTTCCCTATAGCACGGATGGTGATAGTGCTGTCTCACAGGGCAGATGTGAAGGTTAAACGACTATAGTATCTAAAGCAGTGCCTGGCACATGGTCACATGCTATGTGTGGGAGCTGCCAATCAATGGAGGCCCAAGGCTAGCTCCTGTTTTATAGCTAGATCCAGTCATGTGGACTGTGGACCTCCATGCAGAATCAAGACTCTACAAACACCACACGTTCCACCCCGGGCCCAGCCCTGGGCTACCACAAAGAGCCCTTCACAGAGTCCTTCCAGTGCTGAAGCCTACCTTCTCCTGGCCGTGCTCAGCCTTCCCCAGATAAGTGTGGGTATCTGAGCACTAGTCCATCCTCAAGGAGATGGCTCAGGGCATCGAAGCAGAAGAATGGGGCTGGTGACCTCCTAGAGTTCTCTGCACAGGTCCTCTGCCCTTTCCCAGAGGGCCATAGGCTTGGGTGTGCTGAGGGCCCCACCCCTACCTCCCAGCAACCCTTGTATACCAAGTTTGCTTTGAGTCAGGATTGGGGCTGGTCATCCACCTCTGCAAGGGCAGGGTGGAGACCCCAATCCCTAGGTTAACAGTCTCCTGGCAGACTGCGCTTTGCCTCAGGAACTTAAGGCCAGGTTCTATCAAAGGGCTGGTGAGAGACAAAACACTGGGACATGCTTTGGAGCCCAGCCAGCTAGGAGGAAGGAGCCCGTGAGGCAGGGAAGGGTGGGTTTCTTGGCTGCCCAGGCATGAAACCTCACCCTATGCTCTGTGGCATGAACCAGCCCTGTCAGGTTCCCCATCACTCTCTCTCTCTCTCTCTCTCTCTCTCTCTCTCTCTCTCTCTCTCTCTCTCTCTTCCTCTGTGTGTGTGTGTATGTATGACCGCAGGCATGTGTGCGTGGTAGGCATGCTCTTTGCACACCTCTGACTCTACTAACGTGCTTGTAGCAAAAACCCTGTGCTAGGTGCTGCCTTTCCTAATGCACCCCAAGATGCTTGTCCCCACTGCCACAGGCAGGCTGAGCAGGCCTGCCCCAGACCTGTACCAACACTGCACTTTGCACCAGCCTTTGGAATTCATGACAGATAATGTGTGGAGACCAGAGGGTAGAGAGGGGTAATTCCAGGGGCAGGTACAAGAGTCTGCTTAGGCAACTCAGCCTCTGCTGGGACTAGTCCTGGGGACCAGTCACTTTCCAGATGGCTCAGGAACTGCCATTGACATCACCCTAAAAAGCTAAGTTCCATCTGGCCCTGAATTTTGCTCTCTGCTTCTTTAAGGTGTGTGGGGGGGTGCAACTCGAAGACACAGGACTGCCCCCATCCCATCTCCTGGTTTAAATCCCTTTCAGGTTTTGGGCCCAAATATTAATGAGATAGAAAAAGGAATTGGCCCAAATGTCTGACCATTGGGTGGACTGGTCACCTTGCAGGAAGAATGAGCCTTGAGGGTGTTTGACTCTGACAGGAGTGTCAGGGGAGACTGGGGTCCCTGACACACTACTGCCCTTTGGGACAGGACAGAAAGTCCCATGCAGTGGCCTCAGAAAATGCTCCTCCCTCTGCCTCTGATGTCTCCAGTAAGAGAGGAAGTAATCTGGAGGTGCAGGGAGCAAGGATTTAGGACCTGAGCAGCCATGGCCAGAGTTGAGGGTGGAAGCCTCCTGGTGGCCAGATGTGGAACTCCAGTATGACCCTCCTGAGAGACAGGAGTGTAAAGAAACTCATGTCCTGGGCCCTGCAGACCAGATGAGAGCACGTAAGTACCTTGACCTCTTGACCCACAACAGTTAGGTTCGTGCGAAGGCACCAGCTGGCCCGTGTTTGTGGAGCCTAAGGAGACCAGGTGTGGTGTGTTACTCAACAGGACTCCTCTCTGACAGCTGGAGTCTGAGGGTAGGACTCAGTGGTCCTCTGAGATGTGGGCTTTGGGTGATGAGAGTCTGTGATGTCATTGTGCCTTGGAAGGAAGATTCATTTGGGGGCATGGTAGTAAGCAGCCACCAAACCTCTAGCCTTCTAGTCTGATCTTAAACACCTCTGCCTGGAGACTGAAGTCCTCAGATCGCTTTCCACACACTCCTCATCTTTACTTTCTCCTGAGCGCTAACAACAGAGTTACAGGAACCATTGGGAACCGGGATTTTTTAATGGAGAACTTGGGAGCACTGCAGGTAGCAACAAAAACGGAGGGAAGCAATGCGGGGCTGCTGGGAAGGCGTTCTCTCTGCCTCCATCCTCAGCCTAGGGCCCCTGTGGTGGCTGGATAACCCCAGCATGCCCGGTGGGTACCATAAGCCCACACTGCTGGGATGAGGTCTCGGGCACTGGCATCTGTCTTCCCCTTTGTGTGTTACTTCATCCTGGCTCCAAAGGTGGGCACACGGGCTGGAGGGAGGCAGGGCATCGTAGGGATGCTCCAGGCATGGGCAGAAAGATAGGTGAATGGGGCTGGAAGGAGGCCAAAGCATGACCCAGAGTGCCATACAGAAAGCCGACCTGTCAGGACAAAAGAGGAGACGCTATCAGATAGATCCCAGTGATGCGTGCTGTTTAGGTACCCTGATTGACACACAGCACACACAATCCCCATAGTCCCTGGGGCTTCTCCCTAGTACCACCCATGGGGCTTAGCAGCTCTGTCCAAAGCCCAAGCTCCCTCTCCCTCCAGCACCTTTCCTCCAGCCTGTCCTGGCCATCTTCCAGACCAGTTCCCTCCCACAGCTGACCTTTGCACCCTCAGCCCTTCCCCTTCGTGTGTGAACCCTCACCTATCACTAGCTGACATCTGCTCTGTGAAGAAGTTGGCTCTGTGCTGCCTGTAGACCTGGCTATTACACTGCCCCTCCTAGGGCCCACAGCAGGGCTTTTATGGCCCAATTCCAGGGCTTCAGCAGTTCCTGGCAGTTCCTGCAGCTATTTCTCTGGAGGGTGGGAGGGTTGAATTTCTCTTAAATGCTGTTTCCCTGGGAACAGTGACTGGGGATGCTTCTTTGAGGGTGTGGAAGCAAAGGATATCACCAAGTGACAAGTGAAAGAAAGGCCTGAGATTCTTGGAAGGTTAGAGCTGGAGGGACCTTGGGGATCATCTAGCCTTGTATTCTCAGACACTTGCCTATCTCAGGATCCTCTAGGGTCCCCTAACCCCATGGTTCTGTCATTTGCAACCAGGAGCACATAGATGCTGCCAGTCCCAGGACCACTGGTCACATACAAGCCAAGTTTTATTGATGAGGGGACAAAAGAGATCTGACCTAGACATGCTCTGCCCAGTGTCTGAAGGTACTGGAGTAGGCGTGAACCCCAGAGAGTTGACCCCTAGGAGTTCTGTACATTGGGTTCGCCTCCCATCTCTTCTGAGTGCCCTGGGGACTCTGAGGGGCCCCAAGAAGAAGACTCTAGGCACCTCTACTGGGAGGTCGGGGACTTGGCCGCATCGAACATCTTCTTGCGACCTTCCATGCCAGACATGGCCTCCACATTCTTCCTCCAGTCTCCCACCTCCACTGGCCGCTCCTGTGGGCAATCCACAAACATGTCAGAATCTCACCAGGCCACAGGGGCAACAAAGCAACCCCCCCCATCCCCCAAGCTCAAGAGAAAGTGGATGGGAGAAAATCTACCTCCTCGGAGAGATAAGAAATCCTGACGCCCCTGCCCAGCACGTGATAAAAAATGAGTAGGCCAGACAGGAGCACAGACTGAGGCTGTGTGGATGGGAGGTTCTAGGTAACTGCCATGGGGTCACAAAGCTGGTTCCCAGTTATGACAGGCCAACCTCTCCTCTAAGCCCCATGCCACCCTCCTGGGTGACACCCTGCAGTTCAAGGTCACCTCCTCCAAGAAGCCTCTCCTGTTTCATTTAACTTGCATTCAATTTTGTCAGCATACTACCTGGCCTGTTTATCTTTATCTTTATTAAGCTCCCTGGGCCAGAGAGATTGCTCTCTTGCCTGAGTTCTCACAGCCTGTCAGCTCTGGACATGAGGGCAACAAACTCTGTGAGGCCAACAAACTTGAAGTAGTTGTTTGCTAGGCAAGTAACTGAACTCAGTTCTCCAATTTCTATACACTCATGTTCCTAGAACCACACTGAGAAGCTGACATGACAGGGGGAATGGTAGCCCCTTAACTGGTATGAGAAGCAAGTTTGAATTTCCCAGTCATCCTTTCTCGTGCCCCATTGTCCTCACAGACTGGAAGCAGACAGTCTTCTCTCTTCTGACACTGGCCTCCTAGGGGGTTCTAGAATATCCTGATTCACACACTGACTAGAGAGCCTCAGGCCGTGGAAGGCTGTGTGAGAAGTGTTAGGTAAAGGTCAGTAGGCTGTCAGTCCCCTCAGTCTGAGGAGAGTGGCCCTCACCTTTTCTGTGTCTTCTTTCTTCACAGACTTGAGGTTGGCCCTCAGATCCATGGACACCTTGTGCTTGGAGCCCAGTAGGGCTCGGAGCATGGCATCGGCCGAGACACGGACCCGGCGCAGGGGAGGACGCTTGAACTTCCCACGGAGGTCTAGCACCTTCAGCTTCAGGTCCTTGATCTGTAGGAGCGAAGGAGCCAGGCTTGATGGCAGGAATGCTGGACCTAGAGCTCTCTTCCTGAGGATCTAACTACCAGGCTTCCAGCTAGAACCATCCTACAAGTCCTCTAGGCTCCAGGTTAGACCATCTGAGGTGCTGAAATTCTCCTATCCTTTTCCAAGGATACTACATATGCTAAATGTGCTAGATGAACTTTTAATGAAGCCCACTAGTTAACCTCACCCCTCCCCATCACCAACCCTCGAACAAACGAAAAGCCAAAAAACCTTTACTCCCATTTGGAAGCCTTGTGTGGAGCGTGAACTGCTTTCTCTGTTCCTCCATCTTTGCTCTTGCTACTCAATCCTGCCCAGGGGGCCTGCACAGCAGCTGAGCCTTGATTGACACAGCAGGTAGAGGAGCCCTAAATCCTACACCCTGATAATCCCAGGGTGGGGTCTACCAGGGAGTTCACCGGAGCCTAATGGCATCACACAGCATCCTGGCAAGCAGTGTAGAGTAGGGAAGTGCACGCTCACCTTGGGCCAATCAATGCTCAGAAGCAGCCCATGGCTGGTCCCCAGGATGAAGGACTGAGTCCTGGAGCGGGAACCAGAGTGCAGCGTACATACTGGGACCCCCATTTTGTGACCTGAGCCAAGCAAGTTCTTAGCCTTTGTGATGTCCTCATTTGTCAGGGTCAGGTAATAGCCTCCATGTCACCCACAGGCATGTAGGGAGGATCAAAGGATTCAACACACTTGAAAGCCCTTCGCAAACATAAGATGTCATTAACAGACATCTGATTACTTGTGTGGGTGAGGGAAGCCGGCAGCTTCTGAAGCGCTCACGAGGCAGGTGGGGAGGAAGTTTGCTCTTTTCGTGTGTTGCTCGCCTTCCTGCCCATCTCCAGGCCTATGGTGTTAGGGTGGAAAACTAGAGCTGCATGCTGAGAGGCTGCCTCCCAGGCCCCACTGGCCACGCCAATGCCCACCCCAGCCAGCCCAGGCTGTCTCATCCCGACCCCTCCAGGGCTTACCTCTCTCGTGTTGTGGAGGCATTTGGCTTCAATATCATAGCGCTCCTCATCCACCACCTCCACCTTGGCATGGAGCTCTCGGCACAAGTCCTGAGGAGTAGATGGTATGAGAGTGGAGAAGAGGGGGAAGGGCCGCCGGGTCCAGCCTCCCTTTTCTGTCTGTACACTGAGCAGGCTTAGCCCTACGACCATTGCTTTGTCTGCGCTGTAATCCCAACAGGAGCAGCCTCTGCATTAGCTTCAAAGTTGTCACTATTAAGGCAACAACTCAAAATATAAACCTTGCTTTCCCTCTCCTCTATGGCTTGGTTTCTGTCTCTAACAATTTTTTTTAAGGTTGTATCACTATGTAGCCCAGGCTGTCCTGAAAGCCTTGTCATTGAGGGTTCCTAGGCACAAACTCATAATCTTCACACATATGAATTCATAGACATAGGACATACAAGGCCCACACTGATTCAAACCAGACAAAATCCCAGCGCAGAGAAGGGGAAGAGGACACAAAGGACACAAAGTCCCACCCCTAACCAAAGCGCTATCTGCAGATAGTAACTGCTGGGAAAGGGGAAAGCAGCTTTCTCCAATGGAGTATCCCTGGGTTTATGGAGTTCCGTGCCCGGGAGCAGACAGCCAACACAAAACAAACTCCATGTCTCCATGTTTCTTCTGTTTTGATTGGCTTTTTTATTTTTGTTTTTGTCTTATTGTTCCCCCACCCCATCCCACCCCCACCTCTCTCTCTCCAGGGTCTCACTGTGTAGTTCTCTCCTGGCTCACTCTGTAGACCAGGCTGGTCTCGAACTCACAGAGATCCACCTGCCTCTGCCTCCAGGGTGCTGGAATTAAAGGTGAACACCACCACACCCAACCTGATTTTCTTGCTTGCTTGCTTGTTTCTGGTTTAATTTTCATGTTTTTGGTTTTTGTTGTTTTTCTTGTTTGTTTGTTTGTTTGTTTGTTTTTTAAAGATTTATTTACTTTATTTATATGAGTACACTGTCTTCAGGCACACCAGAAGAGGGAATCAGATCCCCTTACAGATGGTTGTAAGCCACTAAGTGGTTGCTGGGAATTGAACTCAGGACCTCTGGAAGAACACTCAGTGCTCTTAACCGGTTGCTAAGCCATCTCTCCAGCCCTTGGGCTTTTTGTTTTGTTTTGGTTTGGTTTGGTTTTTTTTTTTGTTTTTGTTTTTGTTTTTTTTTTTTCTGAGAGAAAGAACAAAAAGTTAGGTGGGCAGGGAGTTGAGAAGAATCTGAGACGAGTTGGAGGAGGGAAAACAGATCAAAATACATTGTATAAAACTGTTTTAATTAAAAAGTGTTTTTAATTCACAACCCTCCAACCTCTAGCCCTGAGTATTGGGATTACAGGCACATGCTTCTGCATCAGGCTCACAGTTATTTTCTTAAAAAAAAAAATAGTTTTATAAAAGTAAAATAGCTACTGCCATGGGAGACATGGACATATTTTCATCTTTCCTCTGAAGTCACTGGCATTAAAACAACTACTAACAGTTTAAAAAACAGCAAAGTGTTGGGACTGGAGAGCTGACTCAGAGGTTTCAGAGCACTGGCTGTTCTTCCAGAGGACCAGGGTTCAAATCCCAACAACCACATGAACGCTCACAACTGTCTATAACTCCAAGATCTGACACCTTCACACAGACGCACATGCAGGCAAAATACAAATGCCCACAAAATGGAAATAAATTATCTTTAAAATTAAAAAAAAAAGACTCATCTTAAAAAGGGGGACGAATCTTTGCAGGAATGGGCCTTCTGAAATCCTGCCATCTTCCAGGCCATACAATACCATAGTACCACCTGATGGGAAGCCAGTCCCTGGTTCTACCCAATTAAGTCCATTCTCCTCTCTGGGGATGGAAGTCCCCTCTCAAGTCTGTAAAATGTCATCACTTCATGTGCAGTTGTGAGACTGGTGTGGTCGCACCTTGTAAGTTAGAGCTCTTTGTTAGTTCAGGATCTACCGAGGGCCCCTTACATGAAGCACGGAGCTCAGCCCAGCCTGTCAGGCTTACCTGAAGGGCGCTGAGGGACAGACCGCGGGTCTGCAGCGTAGGGATGCGCTCTGAGAGATACCGCACCTTCTCAGCCTCTCGCTCCTCATGTTCCTGCTCCCAGCATTCCTTGGCCTTGGCTAGCATCAGGCTCTGAAAAGGACAAAGCCACTGAGCCAAGGTTGGTTCCTCATGATCCATACCCATCTCAGACTGAGGGGAAAGATGCCCTAGACTAGGCTGGGTCTGAGGCCATTGTTCAGTGTGGCAGAGCTGCCCCAGGCCTTGTGTAGGTCACATGGCATTCCTTAGCCCCAGAGCTTGTTTATCTACAGTCTCCCTTTTCCCTCCCTTTTGTCCCACGGAGCTCCAGAGAATGAAACATACCAAAATAAACTACATCTCTTCCGCTCCCTCCACCAAGGAGTCCCATCCCAGGTTAGTTCCTGTTGTCTCATAAGTACCCAGGAGGGGCAAGATACAACACTGGTCACCCGTCAGCTTTGGCACTGGCCAGAGCTTCTTCCTTTACTCTTGGTCTCTCTCCTTGCTGCCCCTGCCCTCGGCATCCCTTAGATTCTGCACAGCTGCCCCCTCCAGCTCACATGGGACCAGGCTCACCTTCAGCATGAGTTTACGGGAGGCAGTGATCTTGGATTTCCTCTGGGGATGAGAAAGAGAGGCCAGTGGTAAGGCAGAGGCTATAAAACTGGATTCTTCATCACTACCCAGAATCCTCTGCTCACTTTCGGGCCTTTAAAGCTCATCTTTGCGACTGAACCCGTCAGGTTGAGAGAACACTGCTACTTTGACCTAGGGGCTGAAGCCCCACCTTCCAGTCCTTACTCTGCTGCTGATATGATCCTGCAGGAGACTGCAGAAGTGCCTCCCACAGGAACTTCCTCATCTGCGGAGGAGCACACTGACAGCTGTACTCAGTCCATAGCTCCCGCAAGAACAAATGAGGGCACAGATGTGCAACCTTCATGAGAAGCCTAAAACAGACGTAGGCTTTAGGACTCCAGGTGATAATGCAGCTGCATCTGGATGTTCTTTCCTGCCAGAGATACATACTGCATGTGTCCCAGAGAAGTGAAGTATGTTTGTGTGGATGTCAAAACTACTTCACACGTCACCTTCACCCACATAAATCTCTAGGATACAAAAAGACACTGCTATGTATTCTAGCCAAAACGAGCAGGCAACTTCTTGATGGCCAAATAGATATGCTTTAACAACTCTTAGTAAGTCTCCTCCAAGGCCAGGCATGGTGGATCATATGTGCAACCTCAGCAGTCTGGAAGCTAAGACTCACATGTTGAAGGCCATCATGGAAGGTCATAGGCGACATGAAAGAACCTATCAAAAACGATGTTTCATGTCTTAGCTCTGTGACAGTGTCCCCCAGCATGGTGAAGGTAACAGGGACACCTCACTGCTGACTAATGGGCTCATGAGGTTTGAGAGCCCTTGAGTCTCTCCTGGGTTTCTCTTTGCTGCTCCTGTTGAGCAGCCTGCCTATTTGAGGTGTGATCAGCCCTGGGAGAGCACAGCTACAGTCTGTTTCTGCAGTGTGTCAGGTACACATGGTGAGGCTTTGTGGGAGTGACTGGGAGAGGCAATGAGTGAGCTTCAGCATACTGAGCACATGACTCCCAGTCTACTCACGGTGCCTTATCTTTTTATCTTTGAAAGCCTACACTCCAGGTAATGAGAGAAACAGCCAGTTACTGTGGCCATGACAGCGCCGGGTTCACCCTCCCAGATACTCCATGGAGAATGGCCTGCCTCTCTCTCTCTCTCTCTCTCTCTCAACACTCACTGAATACATGGTCTCTTCATCTAAACAGTGGTCCCCAGGGATTCACTTGGATAGGAGTCTCATCAAAACTGAAGGACTCCTACGGTCACTGGAAAATGCTATATTTGCTTCTCACTAAGACTTTCCAGGCCAAGTGTCCCCTCTATCAGTGACATCACCTCTCCACTTGAGCCAGCACACCAACTTTCCTTCAGCTCTCACCCCGGACCACAAGCAGGCTGTGTTCTCTGCAGCCTGAAGAAATCTGGATTGCAGAGTGTCCAGAGTCAGAGTGACCACAGTCCTAAGGGGAACCCAAGGACACACCTACATTCCTTCCTCAGTGTTCAGTCGTAGCCTTCACCTTTCAGATATACTTTTGCATGGCATCAGCTTTATAAGAGGCAGAATGAAGCCCCCGGGGATACAGGAGCTTTGAGGAAAGTGGAGGGGACAACTTTTGCTTGCGGTCCCAGCCACATGTGAGGGGCATCCTGGGAGCCCTGCACCTGTGCACATGGCGTCTCTATTCTTTGCTTCTCTTCTCCTGGGAGTTTTCTCAGTCATTCCCATTCCAATCTTGGCTTTGACCCAGTCTCCTCCCTTCCTCAAGCCCACCCCATCTTCATCAGTTAGAAGAACTAACCAGTAGAGAAACCCCAAACACCACTCACCTCGCTTTAAACATCCATCATGGGAGGAACCGGAAGAAAGAGCAGAAAGAACATAGAGTGAGTGGGAACAAAATACAAGACATGGGCAGCAAGAGAACCAAGCAGATCTGCTTCCGGGGAGGGGACAGGTGACAACAACATGTCTGAAAGGCACCAACCATGGGAGAGGGGAACCACTTCAGTGTTTCAGCAAACAAGGAGGAAAAACTCAACCACCTTCTGGGCTACTTCTCATTCCTTTTGGGACATGTTGGTCATTCAAAGTTGTAGGGGAATCTAGTGTAAGCTTTGACAGAAGGCCACAATTAATGCAAAAGCTTCCATCGCTGGGCATGTAGTCCCAGAGCTCCATTCATCCGTCATGTCCATGTGATGTCGTAGCCTAGTCTGTTCGGTTCATTGATCAGTATTGACAAGCTAACTCTGAAGCATAGGCCAAACAAACATGTCCTCCAAACACACTCCCTCTTGGGAATGAGTTCTGCTCAGCTGAGGGAGGTCCTGGACACTTTCAGGAAACAGTCAGAGCTGGCCAGGCACTAAGGCTCATCCTTATCTCAGGCGCTTCTGTTGAGAGTAGCTTAGGAGAGGGGTGAGCCAGGCTGTCCTCAGCTATAAGGCTTAAGTCTGTGGTGAAGGACTAGCCTCCCAGGAGCCCTGTATGCAAAGGAAACAACTTACACTTCCGGCATGGTGGTAGCAAGGCAGCACCTAGAGGAGACAGAGGAATCATTAATGGAGCCGCTGTCCATCCTGCTGTGAACCCCCAGTAGATGTGGGGAATTGAACAGCAGGAAGACTTCAACACAGTAGTAGGTTAACCAATGACTATGAAGACAACATCCCCCTAAGACCTTGGAAAGCCTAAAACATTTATAACTGGCTATTTCCAGAGAAATCCTGCTGACTCAGGTGCAGACCAGAACAGAATCTGTAGACAATGTGTTTGGAAAAGTGAGGATGGGCCAGGATCCGGAGAGCCTTGAACACGAAGCTGGATTCAGACTTCACCTGTGGATTAGGACTCAGAGAAGGGGCAAGAGGAACAGAACAGAATGGAAACTGATGTGCAGCTGCCTGCCTGGTGGCCCAACTCCAGAGGTGCCATTCAATAGTGCCCAGCAGCCCCAGGCAGGTGGCAGGGAGCCCTGAGTAGAGGCTAAGCCAAGAGGGGAAAAAAATCTAGTGTGCCTTCATTCTCTTCTGGCTGCAGCTGCAGCTGCTTGCTGCTTGCTGTTTCTTCTCCTCTTCCTCCTTCTTCTCCTCTTCCTCCTCCTCCTCCTCTTTCTTCTTCTTCCTCTTCTTTTTCCCCTTCCTCTTCCTCCTCTTCCTCTTCTTCCCCTTCATCCTCCTCTGCCTCTTCTTCCTCCTCTTCCTCTTTTTTTTCTTTCTTTTTTCTTTTTTTTTTTGGTTTTTGGCTTTTTGAGACAGGTTTTTCTGTGTAGCTCTGACTGTCCTGGAACTCACTCTACAGACCAGGCTGGCCTTGAACTCTTGCCTCAGAGGTCCTCCTACCTCTGCCTCTCAAGATTAAATCTCAAGATTAAAGATGTGAGTCACCACCACCACCCAACTAGTAGTGTGCTTAATATTAGGCCTTGGACCTTTTATTCAAACCAGAGCTCACTTGGAAGCAAAGCAGGTTCAACCACTAAATAACAACGACACTGGTTAAAGAAACCAGCACAGCAGTCCAGGAGCCTCTAAGAGAGCAGAGCTACGGAGCAGTGAGAAGCCTTCACAGGCTGTCTCTGGGCAGGCCACCCTCAGGAGTCCTCACAGGCTGTCCCTGGGCAGGCCACCCTCAGGAGTCCTCACAGGCTGTCCCTGGGCAGGCCACCCTCAGGAGTCCTCACAGGCTGTCCCTGGGCAGCCCACCCTCAGGAGTTCTGACAGGCTGTCCCTGGGCAGGCCACCCTCAGGAGTCCTGAAGACTATAGAGACTACAGGCCTGCCTTGCCCTCTCGTCTGGACCTTGACAGGGTGGGTAGGTGGGGAACTGAGGAAATGACTGAGCTGAAGCTCAGGGAAGCCGGAGCATCCAGGCTGGGGACAGATGTGTGGTGTGGGTCAGGAGGCCTGAGACGGGTGATAAAGTGAAGAGTCGGAGCGGCA